ATGTTTTAAATGCTTTTACTTGTTGTAAGCCGCCCAGAGTCCCTAGAGAGTGGGCGGCATACAAATTCCATTAAAGTTTGAAAGTTGTGTGATCAAAATTCAGACGCTTGTCAAATGACTCATACTTATGACCATTTCGGCATCCTGGGGTCACATGATCACCTTTTATGACCTTCTGATAAGCAAAGTCAATGGGAAAGCCAGATTCATTAACAACCAGGTTACTACCTGAACTCAGTGGTTCACTTAACAACTGTGGCTAGAAAGTTCATAAAATGGGGCAAATGGGGCATATTAAGAAATGCCTCACTTATCAACATAAAATTTTGGTTCAATTGTGGTCATACACTGAGGACTACCTGTGCTTAGGAATCAAATTTCAGGAACAGTGAGATGTTCAGCCGTTTTACTATTTATTAAAGTTCCAATCCACTTAATAATCAAACGTTTGGTTTATTTTCACTGAAAAGAAGGTCCAGCAAATGTTACAAAAACCCTGTGATTTTTTTTTTCTGAACACACTCAAATTGACCTGCTCTAACTATATACATACCTTGTTATTTTACCTAATCAGTTACTCTTGAAAGGGATAAAATAAGTAGTTTGATCAAAACCAATAATATGCAGGATTAAAGTGTTTTAATGGTTTCTGTTATATTCCTCCTCAGATATTTTATCTTTTCAATGAAAAGTGGCTCTCTTTTCATTTGAACATAGAGGAAATTAAGAATAGGATTAAGCAAGCAAAGAGAGAGAAACTATTCTCTCTCAAAACTGGGGAAATTGAGTAAAATTTAGTAGGAACAAAAGGAAGTATTTTGTGCAAGACATAATTAACATTTTTCTATCACAAGCGATTGTAACATCCACAGCTGTTCTTGAGAAAGAGGGAAGGATCCATTACTCCCACCCTCAGAAGCCTGACTCCTGTGTCTCTGCAAACTGAACGACAAATTATCATAACTTGTAATTATCACTTCAGTAGAGGCCTATAAGATGAGGTCAGCTTTAAAAAAAAAATTCTTCAGCACTCAAATGGATTTAAAACCGTGCTCAATTGCCATAATGGAGGGAAAGGCAATTTATTACAGTCAGAAACCCAGAGTGTAAAATAAAATAAGTTAACAATAAAATAAGAATAAAAACCTAAAGGATGTTACAGTTGGTGGCAGGTTGGATGGAAATGCATAGTGGCATAGCTGTCTGTTGCCTCCAATTTTATAGTATGGCAATTTCATGTATGGATGGATGGATGTATAATATACATACTATGTATGTATGTAAGTGTGTAGGCATTTTTATTCAAAGTTCAGCATGTTTCACCATAGGATAGTAAGAGAATGAAGCTGGCTCCTTATGTCAATTTTATAATATGACAATTTTGTATCTATAGGCCTTATTTAGCAACCGCAACTAAGGTCAGCAATTTGGTGCTTGAGCAAAGCAGCTGCTAAATAATACTGTAACTGTGCTTGTTATCTCACTTCAGCTTTGCTTTGCTCTGCTCTGCTTTACAGACCTATGGAAATTATAAATGCAAAGTTTGGTAGTTAAGTTACTTTTTTCGTCACTGTTGTAAATAAACCCTAAACAAGACACTTGCTAAATGAAAACTCCCCCCTCTGTCTAGTTTAGTTTAGTTTAGTTTATTGGTCTTGTATGCCGCCCACTCCCGAAGGACTCTGGGCAGCTTACAATAAACAAGGGAAGGGGATAAATAAACAAAATATACTTTAAAAAACATAACATTCACAATTTCCGTGGGGCTGGATATTTCACAAGCCCCCCCAGCCTGCTGGAGCAGCCAGAACTTGGTGGCTTTGCGGAAAGCCGGGAGGGTAGTAAGGGTCCGGATCTCCACGGGG